TAGTGAAGTATGATGCTGAATTTAATGAATATCTATTACTACCAAACCTACTAATTTACCTTGCTCACAAATGCCTTCACACAATTTTCAAGATTTTCTTTCTCTGTGTCTGTAGTTTGTAGCAACCAACCCTCCAAAAACATCTTCAGTACTATTTTGTGTGCCCACAAGAAGATGGTGCAATGTTATAAGGGTAATTTTTTGAAATTCAGTTTTGGAACTGCTAACTTATTGTTTTCTAAAGTTTCATAAATAAAGCTATTAATATTATTATGTAACATTATGCTACTTGAAGGATATGAAAAGTGTGTGGTATGACAGAGTTATGTAAATATAAATAAAAACTGGGCAGATCATTGACTGGAGAGATATCTCATTGTTCTGATGTTGAAGGACATGTTTTGGACTTCAGCTTCACAGGTCTTGGTCTTGGTCTTGGCCATTTGACCTCAGGTGCCATGACATTAACAGGATTGACTCTCGAGTGCATCCTGGGCGGGATTTTTCTTTGCCCATCAGTGTGTCTCCGTTTGAGTGCTTTCCAGCTTTTGAAGCTGGCCAACATGGCCACCTTACCCTCGGTTACTTCATTCAGAACGGCAGGGCTCATGTTGAACTGCACAGGATAATGTGTATCAATCAAGTGATTATAATAAAAAGCTTACCATCAGGGTCAGAAGAATTTGGCTTCTTGTGTTTGCCCATGTTCAATGAACTTAGAGAAAGTAGTAGCTAGCTTTTGCGACAACTTAAATGTTCCACACTCCGACATTGCATATATTTTCTAATACATAATAATTTGAACAATTGGTTCCAAAGCAATTCATTTGAACCAAATATTTGACACATGATTGTTTGAATTCAAAGCCAAATGTAATGCTTTGGGTACATATGCTAAAATTGCAGAGGAAATTATTACTAGGCCGCAGAAGAACTGGACCCACTAGTTGACGTGCTAGCTGACGTGCTAGTAGGTGAAAGCCCTGTATCATCAGCATCATCAGATGCAGACGTGATGACCCTTCTGTTCAAAGGTCTCTCCAGCTCAGCCTCATCTCCACCATTGTTCGTACGACTGACACTTGGTGCCACTGAAGTTGTGATGGTACCAGTCACAGTACCGAAAGTGAGTTGTCTTGTACACAGCGACAGACATGAAGGTGACATCGGTCTCCCAGTCGAATACAATCACGCTTGGTGTAAGAAGATTGGTGTGGTCGACAGCAGGTTGTAGGATATCTAATTTGGTGTGCATCATGGACTTGACCAAGTCCATGCCTCAGTTCAAGGCAACACTGATCTGGCCCATATCAAGGTTTGGAAACAGTGTCTGAAAAAACGATGTCAGTACCTATTGGATACGTCAAATAAGCTACCCACTCCATAAGCCACGTGAGGACCGTTTACATTGATGACATCGTTGCCCTCCTTGAGCCAGACAAAGTACTCAACCTTAGATATGTTGATCCATTTATGATCCATCACCTCAATGGGACCAAATAACTTCTCTGCATCCCTGTGTGGTGACAAAGAGCTGTATGGGCGCAGAGATTTGTCAGCAAGTGCTTGGCTGTAAGTAGGGAATTGTCTGAGGGTGTTTGTAATGAGTTTGCTTGAATTTGAAGATGAATAATATGCATATGATCTCGGGGTGAGCAACGAGGACTTTCTCTATCTTCTTGAGGGTGACATGTTTAGATTGAGAAAATGCAGTCTCCATGTACCACAGCACCTCAGTCTCCACCGCCTCTGAGGTGGTAGGGGTTAAAGTGAGTTGCTAATAGTTGATCCTTGTCAGACCAAAATGTAAGCAATCATACTACCATTGGCGTGTGACAAGTACTTACTACAACTTTTTGGTCCCTCTGAGTCACGTTCAGACTGGCCGAATGCCCAGACTGTGCCTCTGATTTTTGAACCATCATTGTGTCACTATCTTGACAATCATGTTCAAGTTGGCATGATCCGAGTACATTGGATTGGATATGCACCATGAATTCGGATATGTCCTCCAAAGGATTGAGCGACCCAGACTCGAAAGAGAGCTGACTTAGACTTGAAGTAGTGGAAAGGATTGCATCTTCCAATCCATGATTGGTATCACAGTGATAAGGCATAGCACTAAGATGACTGCAGCTAGAGGTAAGTTTACACTGTTCAAAAGAAAGGCAGGTGGTCAATGAGGTTTTATACCAACTGTGTTGTCAATACGGCGACCCTGATGGTATACTATGGCCATAGAGCATATTATGCAGCAGGTGGTAGTGCCCTATAGCACCATACCAAGTTTGGTATGTAATCGACAAGGAGCCTGGAGAAGACAGCGCATGCAATCCTTTTGAAACTCCAGACATACCACAAATGGAATAGTAATATGAATATTAATATGAGTTATATCATGAATATGCATGTAATACAATTAGGTACCCTGGGGTTTTCATAATTAGTAATGCTACCACTAGTTCTACCTGTGATTTAGTAGTACATAGACTCATTATATCCTGACCATCAGTATAAGGAATCACGCTGCAACTGAATTGGTTTCTCACTCAGTCTGCAGGCTCATTCAACGATGAATCTAGGCACACAGTATATTGGAAATCGGTGAGGAAGCACCCTTTCAAACTCCAATTGGCCTATTAAACAATTACCTACTAGTAACACTCACATAGGCCCATAGTCGCTTGAAAACCTACCCATGGAGAAAATGAACTTGAACTTGGCTGCTACTAGTACTTTCTGTGATGAAAATCCAGTTGTCCATTGCCCCTATCCTACCATTACTCAGGCCAACTATGACAAGTCAAAGCTCTCTTCTCCTTCAAACTCGCCTCCAAGCTCTCCCCTGTCAATTGGAATATCAGGTATAGATGACTCCCATATCATGGTATTTTCATAAACTCAAATATAATGACTGGCAGAGTCCGGGAGTATTGGTCTCAGAGGAAGACAACAACTTCCCTGTGACACCTGATTCCAAGCAGTCCGGGGGTCAACACTGCCCTACTGCTGATATATCTCACCACCATGAATCAGGTCATACCAGCAGCACTCCTGAGTCAAAGAGGCACACCAAACTCTACCATCCTTACCCCCACTGGCGGCTGTTGTCAGGAGACAGATACCACAATAGTGCTGAGCAGATCTTGTGCAGACAGTCATGTCACCAGTACTCAGAAGGTATGAGCATTGAGATACGCCATATATTGAACATATATAGTTCCTACATATAATTGGTATACCCCTCATGATAGGATCAGGAGGTGTTGTTGAGGGCTATAAAAAAATGAGCCCACCCACCTTCCACTGTGCTATTCACTACAAGGAGGCGGTTTGAGAAACTTTGCGCATGAAATATTTTTATAGAGGCTGGCTGCTTGAGACGTCAAGAAGGCTGAGCATTTTCAACGAGTCCTTGCATCATGAAATGGAAATGGAGCTTGGGAAGGTGGATCAAGAATTGCAGTGGCTAGTGCATGTGCTAGTTGACCGGGGGGGATCGCCATGCATGACTAATGATGATGTCCCGTATATTACTGCAGCTCGAAAAAGCAGCGGGCAAGCTCTCATTTATGCTGATGCTGAGATTGGTATATTTAAACAATTTTCCATTGGAGATACGGATGATTGTGACAACAAATCGGAGGACACCCGAGTCACTGCCTGTTGTAGTTGTAGTAAGTCCCCCATGTACTATTATTAAGTCACCATTACTTATACCATTGACATCATCAGGTAATTGACCTGAAAATGATAAATTCTTAGATAGCTTTACCTGTTCTAAAAACTACATAATATCTATCAGAATTGTACTCCATGTGAGAAAGCTTTATATACCCAGACTTACTTGGATAGAACCCGCCAAATACACAATCATGGCAGTCTAGTTGCCTGCCATCACCAAGATGGTGTAATATTGCCACACCCACCAGCCGTGGGAAAGTTGTCGAGAGTGACAAATATTGCCTAGTTGAGGGTTAGTGTCAAAACACTACAATTCTGCTCTACCGTGATAATCATACACAAGTGTTGACTGTTTTTGTGCCTTTCGCAGTCTCTGGACAGATTTCAACATCTGATAAAGATTTATATGGCTGGATTGTGTTGGATCGCATCACCTACAGCCCAAGGGCGCCAGCACTGTATCAAGTCATGTCAGTGTGATTAACTTATGCAGGCCGAGCTTGACATTGCAGCTTTGACAAGTACTCTATTGACATTGACATTAGGCATGCGGTTACGACACTGGCCTGTGTTTCCCAAGTTCACAAGAGCTTCATCGACGCTGACATTAGGTATGGGGTTACAACGCTAGCCTGTGTTGCCCAAGTTCACAAGAGCTCCATTGACACTGACATTAGGTATGGGGTTACGATGCTAGCCTATGTTGCCTAAGTTCACAAGAGCTCCATCGACGTTGACATTAGGTATGGGGTTACGATGCTAGCCTGTGTTGCCTAAGTCTACAAGAACTTCATTGACTCTGACATTAGGTATGCGGTTACGTGGCTAGGTTGCATTTCCCGAGCCTACAAGAGCTTAATTGACGCTAGCATAAGTTGTACGGTCGCAATGCTAGCTTATGTTGCCCAAGTCCGCGAAGTATGCAATACCAGCAACGAGCGCTAATACACTACAATTCTGCCCATCCTCAATAAGATATGAGTCACCGTGTGTATAGTTAGTGAGTTATTTTATCATCCACAAACTGTTCCCAGATGCTAGAGTCGGCTAAAGGTTTCGAATGCCAGACTGTTTTCGGAACAGGTTACATTGAGCCCAAGTTCGCATAAAGACGACAGCGCAGTACCTTCCATTACCTTGTCATTTTGATAATTTAATTATGGGGCAGAATGTTGACCGTAGGTCTTGCCTTGCAGGACCTGCTTGCATGGACCAATACAATAAAGGGGAACATATTGCCATAATCAAATTTTTACCACTAGAATATAGCGCTACAAGTCAAGAAAAGCCAAGCTGATATTAAATAGGATAATCTACTACAAAGAAGATACTTGAACAAGGGCTACATAGAAACCATGGGCAGATTCAAAGTTTGTTTCAATGCAAGACATTTTTGTTGGATCTTCGATAGTGCACTGTTGGCGGTGACGTTGCGCTTGGCAGCCGAAGAAGCGGGGAAGACTTGGCTGGGTATGTGACAATGTGTGAGGCTTGGTGACATGAAGAATGAGGACATACCGATTCCACCACATCAGCAGTTCATCAACTTCCTTCAACTCGTCAGGGTCTTCCAAGAGGTCAAGGAGACTATGATCAAATGTCTCCAAGTCTGTCATCGTGTCAGTTCTTGAAAACACTGAAGAAGAGGTTAGAGCGAATCGGACCTACAATCAATGTCAACTTGAAAATCATCTACATATCGAAAGTATGGTGCTCGACGAACCTGGGTTGCAACATAAGCAATGGATGCAATGGTGGCAGAGTTCATGCCATGAAGACGAGCATTTCCGGATCACGTAGCTTTCGGTTCCCTGTCAACCGAACTCGGAGACGTGAAAATGTGCTTGTAAGCCTGGCAGAATACAACACAATGGATGAATTAAGTAAAAAGAGACACGACACCTACACATACAAGGAAGCAACTCCAAAGGAGACCACACCACGGATCTTCAGCATCGTAAATGTGATGCGCGTACAAAAAACAGGCCATTGATCTCCGCAGACCAACAGTTCTCCGCTTCGAAGGTGTTCTTTGGTCCTGTGTCCACAAAATGAGGAAAAAAACTTGTCAGGACTACAGATGCCAACAAACCGAAACTTACTGTGAGTTGTTCCAGTCTAATCCGGCGGGACAAAGCAGGGAGCCTGTAAGTTCATGATTAAATCCACGATCGATCTTGGAATTTCTGTGCAGAGGAGGTTGGATCGCCTCTCCTTTTGGAGCGATCCAATCTAATACTGCAGACTTCAACGTTTTTGTGTTGTCGCCTCTTGCGCCTGCGGCTCCCTTACCTATCTAAGAATTGTTAGTAAGATGTCCGATCATATAGGGAATGATGTACCAGCTCTCCGACATGGAGGATTTCCTCCTCAGAACTGTTTGTCAATTGTTCCAATAGGCCGGGATAAGAATCTAAGAGCTGCTCGAAGACACAATGTTCTCGTCGCTCTCTGCCAAAGGTGTCAATTAGCGAGCGAGAAGAAAGATATTTTTTTACTCAGCGGAAAAGTCCTCTAGTGAAGTATTTTCCATTTGTTCTAGTCTTAAGATGCCATTGGTGAGTAAAGCAGGGTAGTTACACAGCGCAAACACTGTTCGACCAAAATGTCGTCCATGGGAGACAAGCGGATCCGATGAGGAGCTGTGGTGACAAGATGAGTCGACAAAAACCTGTGACAGCATTGGAACAGCTCACACTTTTTCCGGGATGCGTATGCGCTGACAGCTGCAGGAGAGGGGCATACGTAGAGGTGGCAGTGTACCCATGGTGGGATAGAACTACGAAAAACACTTTTTGGACTGTGAGATGTGCCTCTGATTGATGTGGATACCAAGGTCAGTGTTATTCGATGTTCTTCATCAAGAGATCTCGCACTGATAATTGCCTAGTAAAAATAGACGTATATTCCCAGCTGGCACCTTTGGCCGCCTTCCAGTACCTGTGAAGAGGTACAAACTTGTTGCTGCAAACATACAATTTCATTGATAAGCGATGAAGATTGACGAGTTCCTCCTGTTCAACTGGAGTGGACCCTCAAAGAGCAAACAGAGTTGTTGAACAAACTCGATGCGTCTATTGGCGACGGGATTGGTGAGAGGGAGTTTTGTGTTCTATTCAAACGCTGCAAAAAATGCACGCGAGTCGGAGTAAGGCCAGTGATGAACCGCCATATCTGTTCTGGAGGTGTGCAAAAGCGACAAAGACAATCATTGTAGTTACATACAGCCTGGAGAGTGCCAATATGTCTGACCAAAGGGTTTACATTGTTTATAATGAACCTAGGCTCAGAGTCTTGAAGGAAAAATGGCCAAAGAAGGTCATCAATGACTTGATCGGAAAAGCACAGACCAGGCGAGCATGGAGATTTATCACCGAGCAACACAAACTAAAGCGGACGAAAAATCAGAATGTGATTTTAAACATGCATTAGACGAGTCACCCTCACTTTGTTACTTCCAATAGTAGTAGTAAGCTCCTTCAAAGAAGGGATGAAAGACTCGTGGACAAATCTCAACATCAGAGTCCAGGAACGTCTTGATACCACACTGCGCCGGAGCATCAGCCATAAAGATATTACCTCCATTGGAGTCATATGTGAAGAAGACTAGAGAATGTTCCTTGAGATATGGAAAATCAGTGTGACAGTGGCCTGCATTTACTGGGTTTAGAGTCAATAACTGTGCCATGGAGGTTAAAAAGCCACTCCACTTCACCAAAAAGTGTAATGATGGAGGCAACAGCTTATTCTCCATGATCTCTGCCTGACACCTGTGAATGCTGAAGTTTGTTCTGAGATGTCTACCCTGCTTAAAATGTTAGTCTTCACCTTGCACGGTCATTGCTATGCTGACCAGTGGATTTGACGTCCAAAGGGAAAACATCGTTGTGAGGGCACGGGTTTTTTTCTGAAGAGATCCCAGTTCGGATCCCCTAGATTCAAGCGATTCTTTCAGCCTCTGCTGCGATCAGTTAGCTAAACGATGAGAAGTGACAAACCCTCACGAGCTGAAATCAGTGTAGGATCAATGCTAATCCGGGTCCCTTGCTTGAGGTGCTATCATTCCAGCTTCGTCTGTGCTGAAGGGTGCCGTCCGTCGACATAACTAACCTTAGGCAGGTTGGGTTCAACTGAACATAGCACACGATGAGCAGGACAACTAATCACAAATTTGACTGTGTTAGACTTGAACAGAGAAAAGGTGTAGCACTCGCTATAGCTTTATTGATAAATTTATTTGCGCCATGATATGTGCGTGTACATAATCGCGATAAAAGCTAAATGTTTTGTTCATGAAACAGATTATTAAAAAAGGAGGGGTGGTGAGTAGAGTGCCTGGAATGAGAATAAGTTCGAGCTCGTGGTCAAAGGCAACAAGCGAAGGAGAAAGGCAGCTGGATGCATGCCAGAAACTTCCGCATGTTCCGTTCTCCAGCGCGTTTGTGGTATTATGTATAAAAATCACTCAGATGACAGTCATGGACCTCATATTAAAGTAATAATATCATACATCATACATTTGAGCTGAAAGGATTCAAGATGTTGTACACTTGCAAAATAAATTGTGCAAAAGCTTCGAGAGTTTGCTAGTTTTGTTTCATCAAAAGGGCTCTCGTGATACACGATACGATGAGTACCACCGGCACAACCGGCATTTGCTAAAATTTAAACTCCATGCTTCAACTTGAATTTCGACCAGCCTGACTGCGCCACTCAATTTAATACTTCAAGTTGCCAATGAGCAGTCCCTCCCAGTACTTGTTTCGCACAATAGCTTTTTTCAGGACTTTGGATTGCCTTTCCTTCTGGCTGAGTTTTCGATCCTGTGTACACCTCTGTTCTCTCGGCTCTATCTGAATCCGATTCCAACATCTTCCTACCAGAATACTTACACTCAGTGATGGCACTCAGAGGTCATTTTGATCTAGGTAGCTTTTTTATTTTTCTTATGTTGAAGTTGTGCGTTAAATTGAAACATGACATACAAGGCACACTTCTGAGTGTCATATGGAGGGTGTCCTATACACCCTCATTTGTATCATCCATGGTTCCATATGAGCGAGTCTTCTTTGGTTGACAGTGCTCTTTGCAATGATATTGGAGGCGAGTACTATTTTTCGCATGCTTGTCTTAAAGACAAGGTATGTGCTACTTCACGCAATCCAAACCTTATCTAACAGCAGAATGACGCGCTCCAGGGCCAGATATCGACACGAAAGCCTGATGAGTTGCATTCTTCCCATATGGAACGCCTTCCCGGACAATAAAGGTCCATGGAAAGCATGTGGTTCAGGCTCACCGATGCAACGGAACTGTACAAAGCTTGACTCCTTCGGATAGATGTGCTAACTTCGCTCCAGTTTAAAAGAAGGGTGACAAGATTTCACTGTCTCCTTATACAGTGAGGGACTATCTTACCAGGCTTACCAGGTAGAGCCTCCTGTGGATAACAACCCCACGGCTGAGGCTTCGGCCCTTCGCAGACACAAGAAGAACATGTGCCTAGCTCCACATGTAAGGAATACATAATTCAGCTGAGTGAAATTAAATCTTCCCAGCAGTGCACAGCTCTAACTGTTTCCCGGAATGTCGCGGTGACCTCTCTGCTTCTGTGCAGTATGGCTATTGGGGCTTCAAGACTATGCAAGGCTTTTGGTAAATATCTTTCCTCTATGGGTCGCTATACTAGGAACTCATGCGCCAGATCATATTTGACGGCCAGTCCTCACCAGTTCAGTTTCCGCTACAAATAGACGTCATCACATGTAATATTATAATGTGAACACAAAGATACAGTAGCATTAGCGTATCCCCGATGTCAATTTGTGTTTCACCTTCGCAGCTGTTCAATGATTCAGCTTCTCGTATAAACATTATCCAAATCTTGAACTCACTAGGCATTGAATTACTCGATGCCTACATAGAACTTGTAGCCATTGACAAGGCCTGTACATGAATTCATGTTTGTTTCCACATCCTAAAGTCTCTCAATCCAGCTTCAACCTATATTAAAGGTTTTATCGTTTTTGCTCAAAGATCACGTCTACCCTAGTGATCTTTGGGAAATCCTCGGGGAGCGCATTATAGAAGCGAAACAGGACTCGATGTTATGACAACACTACATCATTTGCAGTGATAGTCAATTCAAGAAAAAGAGACATGTGATGGTAGAACATCTTCTCATGGAGGAGAGGAGGAAACAAGGACAAATGGAGGTGTCTTTGTATAGCCAGGCCCTCAAACACTTGCAGCAGTACTGGTCGTGTGAGCTTCTTCAACTTGGTGCATGAATCAGTAGTCTAAACACTTGCTATAAAGCAGTCCATTATTCTACGTGTCCAGTTAAGCGGGAAGCCAGATGTTCTTCAGCAACTTCAGGTCATCCTGTAGACTGCAGAACCTGGAGCTGTTCAGCAGCTACGTGAGAGAAATGTGAAGCATGGTTGAAGAGACGACATGCCTATCCCCTCCGGGATGTTGAACCTTCAATGGAAAACTGCTTATTCATGAATGGAACTGCCTCGCCAATACCTGAACTTGCTACTATGCATGAAACCAAACGCACATCTGTCATTTTGAGTGTCAGTGCTTTTAAAAATATCCTCCGCTGTTCTCACTCTCTCTGAAGTGCATCGGACCCTAATTGCCCCTGTTGAACACGTGGGTCACTGTTGACATTCAAGAAGTGTTCTACAATGCATTTTGCACAGAACAAGCTTATCAGGCAGGACTGATGGCACATTTTGTCACCGTTGGCGGCAACTACATCTATCAGCGCAACATCGGATTGGAGGTGCTTATCTTACAGGCCAAGATGTGCCATGCCAAAGCTGAGATAGAGCTCTATACAGTGGCCATCCAAAATGCCCATGAATTCGACTTCTCAGACAACACTAGTGGGCTCTCTAGTCATGTTTTCTTCACTTGCTGATGCCTCTGCAGGTGCTTCGTCTTCTCCCAGTATATTTCTTCTACCTCCTTGACCAGACGAATTGTGTTTCTACGACGAGGACTGTGATGATGTGACAGACAACTTTGACAACTTTGAATTTTGAGTAATGATTCATGAAATATTGGTCGTTACTATTCAGTGATTTCATTCTTCATCTAAATATTTATTAAATCATCATATGAGCCATTGCTAGTAGTTGTACTATGTTCTACAATTGTACCAGGCCTCCAGTCAGAAACAGCGAGTCATGAGTGCGGATTTGTATCTTGAAGTTGCAGTCGCTTGTGTATACACTCATCACGTGCTGGACAAATTGACAAGGTAATATCTGTTCCCGACACCCTGGAGCTGTGGAAGCAGTTTGTCATGGGCTCAGCTGGCTGACTGCGAGCCATAATGAACTGATGCCGCTTCAGATCACTATTGATTGACTATTCAAATAGTGACTCTTAGTTGGCTATTTGTACATGTCAGTCTACTGCTCTGATTTCTATCGATTAGTCTTCTGGGTTATTAGTTTCGCTGGCACCGGTATGTTCTCGCCTTCTTTGGACATCGTGGTGGAGTCCCAAACCTAACACATTTTTCTTGTCTGTCAGCTGATATACCGATCTTTCATCAAGTAATATCAGGTGGCCACCACGAGGATCACAGCACCGCTCAGCGAAGCCACCCATCACGCATGGATATCCCTGAAAACGACAAGACAGAAGTCGTAGTTCTAAAGACTGAGGAAGAATTCGACAGATCTATCGGACGAGTACACACCCATCACAACGACTACACCATAGTACACTTCGTGAACTCCCTGCAAGAAGCAAGGATGAAGGACCAAACAGGAGAGGTGTTCAATTCGTCTAGTTTTAGGAGAGGGTGCAGATCTATCTGGCAAAAGCGACTTCAACTTCATGAGAATCAAGGTATGCGCCTGTTGCTTGATGTGTCAGTACTCGCAAGTATGGGAATGCTCACGCCGCATCTAGGGCATGACTAAATACACTCCTTGATCTCCCTCCGTCCTCGAACAAAAAAGCATGTGTCATGTGTGTCAGATCGAGAGAATATCTGTTCATCGACAACAAGAGCCATGGATCGCCTTATGACCCCCATTATAAAGACCATCCTGCCCTTCATGTATACCAGGAGCTTGCGCATATTTCTCTAGGGGTGAGACTTAGTACTGTTTACAGAGGCGATTCATTGATCACATTGAACTTAGTGTATGCCTCTTTCTACGATGCTGTGGGAAAAGTAATCAGTGGACAAGCAAGGATTGATCAGGGCCGCCAACAGAGCTAATAGTTGCAGTGGTATGTCTTCTTCTGCAACCTGCTAGCTTTTGGCTGATGTAGGATCGTCCTTAGGATGAAAATGTTCTTTGTTGCGAGCACATTCTTGACTCCGACGATTCATTTGTTCAAACTTTGATTGACTGAGACAATATACACGACCTCTTTGTAACTAATGCTAATGCCTGTGCTAGTCGGCGGTCTGTCACCCTGTGCAGACTAGGGATGTCAAGATTACCACGCCTGACATCAGTTCACAAAGTGTAAATCTTCATAGAATCGGCTCTATGGTTGAAGAACTTAGCATCAGTGCGCCGCTCGACATTCTATGTGTCGAAAACGAGGCTGAAAATCGATACTAATTGTACAGGTCTGTCTGAAAAGTTTGAATTCCACACCATGGACTAATCATCTCCATTTTCTCTGGGCCCCATATTCTTCTATTTACTCATCTTTGCCTTCATCTTCGCCTGAGCAAGGCAGTCAGCTTGTTACTAAATGGAGGACACGTCAGACATGTAAGGACAGAGGATTTCAGAACAAAACACGTACTACAGAATATATATGTCCGCTGAATATGTCACAGCAGGTGTGTCAGGCGTTCAAATTACAAGAAAATACTGGTAGCATTAACTTGAATTTACAGTAAATTCAGAAGCTGCTGACTTCCCTTGCAGCACTGACTTGAACACCTATACTTAGAATCGAGTTATTGTGCAACGCACATCAAAGCAGCAAGAAACTCATGAGGCATGATGTACTAAAATTCGTCAATGGCGTCATTGTTTATTCCAAAAGCTCATTATAAAATAGCGAGGTGGATGTTGGTGATAACCATCCATTAATGGGGAACAACAAAGCTCCCCTTCTGCTAGTAGAGACCTGTGAAACAGGGGAGGTGGAGTCAGTAGCCGGGCTCAAAGAACGACTGAAACTTGCGGAAACAGGCTGTGCAAGACTTGAGGAAATGTATCAAACGTACAGGCTTCATTGGTTGGAAGAAATTTATCGAACAAAGGTGCTGGAAAGATACGCACCACAGGGAATCAATACTTGCCCTCCGTATCAGATTCCGTGGAACGCTCCTTCTCCAGCTCAAAGTATATATTGTAATTTAATTAGACAGAACACATGGGCCGGATATCCTGGTTGCCAGTCGATATACTAGCCCATTCTTGGCCGCCACTCAATCATGGCCACTCCGCCAACAGCCAAGAGACTTGGCCGCCACTCAACCATGGCCATACTGCCAACAGCCTTCCCATTCATACCACATACGCTCATGATAAAAGCTTCATTTCATCTGCCAAGTTTGGACTACGCTTTCCAGCTCTCATGACTGCCGAGGGCACCACTTCCAGAATTCCCAGCAAATGTGGCTTGTCGGCCCTCCAAATCGCAGCATGGATATCAAAAATCATATTTTTTGCAGTACTTTTTAAGGTCAGATGGTGGAACCTTCCTTCCCTCACAATCGGCAGGCCTTTATTAAAGTGTCATTGGTTAGGATTCCGACAGGATTCAAGTGACATCTTACCAACACCATTCAATCATTGATTCTGAGGCGCTGTCATAGTGCAACAGGGCGAAACGGCAAGTCTTAGCTTCCGTAATCAATCTCGCTAACTTTTGAGCAGTTTCATGACAGGCAGGTGGAGAGGTGATGATAGAGGAGGGTGAAGATGGTGGTTCCATTGTGCACAATGGTGCAGAAGAATATGTTTCCTTTTCTGCTTCAGCGAAACAGCAGCTTTTACCTACATCATAGTGGCTGGTTCTGCCGTCATAATTTGTGCCATGGCCCAGCGTAACCTGCCGCCAGAGGTTTTTGGCCTGTGGGAACTTGATGCTAAAACTGGTTGACCCATTGGCCAATACTGGCGCCAACTTTGTCTGTTGTGTTGCCAGTATTGCTGAATTCTTTCACTGATCTTCTACCGGTAGTGCTGGGGACAATTAACGTCTATTACCGTCCTTTCAGCTCCTTGTAGCTCTTTATGGATTCATCGTCAGGTCCAACACCTTTCCAATGCACTTGTGCTCGGGAGTTCACACAGGAGAGTGCTTACACCAAGCATCAGCACTCGTGCTTGAAAGGCAAGAAAAGGCTGTTCTCCGCTTTATCTAAAGCAAAAGAGCTTCTCGGCTCTGTAAAATGGTCCCGGACAGATAGCAGTGGCAGATGTACTTCAAGTACGCTATTAGACCACCCGCTAGTACCATCGTCGTCCTATGACCAGGTCAATGAGATGTTGATGGTAGAGACTTCTATTGTTCGCTCAACTCCATCAGCAACGCACCCCGGCGAGGAAGTGTTGTGTGATTCTTCATCGCACAGTGCACCCACTTCTGCATCTCATCTGCCAACGGAAATAGACGAGGGATTATCGCTAGCCCAGCGTAGGAGCCGACGCACTGGTGTTCCTATGCTGCTGCATTATAGGCAGTATGATGATGTGCTTCTGCAGCCTCCTCCGAGTGTTCCTTCCAGTCTTCCTGGCAAACAGCTGGAGTCAAACCTACCTGAAAATTTTATCGATGCATCTACCAGGGCTCGTGCATCACTGCCAGCTCCTCCTTTCCGCACAGCGAGAAATGTTTTTGGCCTTGTACGCCAATTCTTCTCCGTGACTCCCCCGTCCCATGACCCAGAAGAGGTTATAAACCTGCAAGACATCAGTTCTATCCCGGCTAGCACTCCGGCAGAACCGCCTGTCCCTGCCGAGCCTCATGATGCCTTGTTTTATCCATATCCAAATCAATCCTCATTTGAGCTTGGCCATTGGTACTGGAATGGCAGTGTACAAAAATCCCTGCAGAGCTTTAAGGAACTGACTGACATAGTCGGATGTCCGGATTTTGATCCAGACGATGTCCAAAATACGCACTGGGATAAGATCAACTCGCAATTAGGTGCGAGTGTTGATGACGAAGGAGAGGAATGGGAAGATGAAGACACAGGTTGGCGTAAAATGCAAGTGACGATTGAAGTTCCATTTTCTCGAACTACAGCTCAGCCGGGCACTCAACCTTATGTTGCTGCAGATCTTTATCATCAACCTCTGGTTTCCGTTATTCGTGAAAAGCTCTCAAATGCTCAGGACGATGAACTCTTCCATTACAAACCTTACCAGCTGTGATGGAGCGCCCCCATCTTCAACACGAAGTCAACATTCAAGGAGAATTATACACGTCACCGGCCTTCATGGATGCACACTGCGAAATTCAGCAGTCTCCTGGAGAGCTGGAATGCAATTTACCCTGTGTTGTCATCGCACTTATGTTTTGGTCGGATGCGAAGTACTGCCGGTGTCAACCATCTTGCAATCTGGTGAATCATGTCGCATACTTTCAAAAGGTATGATTGTCATTTAATCATCCTCTTCTACATCATAGTTGACGTCTGACAGCTTCCAGATTTATTCAAAGATTTCGCGGGTACTTACACCCAGGGCAAGGGAGTTGGTCGCAAATGTGCAACTCATTGCCACCATGAACTATTCCAAACTCAGTGGAGGGTTTTTTTACTTGATCCTGAGTTTTTAGAAGCATATAAACACAGGATTGTGATCAACTGTTGTGATGGCGTCAAACAGAGATTTTATCCGCGAATATTTACCTATTCTGCTGACTATCCCGAGAAGTAAGTTATTAATCATGATCTGGAAGATATCGCAACTGACGAAAGTCAGAGTTCTCGTCGCAACCATTCGGCAACTGGGGGGTTGTCCTTGCCCGCGATGTCTAGTACCAATGGGACGACTTCAAAATCTAGGAATGAGCCGTGATAGGCAACAGTGTGCAACTCTCGCATGCTCCGATACCTTGAGGAGTCAGCTTGTTTCGACGGCACGCGGCTTGATCTACCAGAAGAATTATGGTGTTGACAGTACATCAGCCGAGTCACATCTCAAGTCTGACTCTTGGGTACCAACCTCTGTGAGTATGATTGTTAGCTTATTTTCTCGCTTTACCAACTCTTGATTAGAACACATTTTCCGACTGCCTTGGTCACTTAGGATTCAACGTTTTCATTGCACTTGTTGTCGACCTTCTGCATGAGGTCAAGCTTGGGGTCTGGCGTATGCTTTTATTTCACTTATTGAGAATTCTTTGCGCCCTGGACAAGGATCTAGTTCATGAACTTGACAAGAGGCCAGTCAATTATTTATTATGACGACAACTCAGCAAGCTAACAACTAGTTAAATTTGACAGGTATAGGCAGGTCCCCCCCATTCGGACGAGCGACCATTAGGCGTTTTTCCGCTAACACTTCTGAAATGTCGAACATGGCTGCTCGCAATTTTGAAGATATCCTACAAGTGTGTCTTTAGAACAATTTATGTAGGGTTTCATGAACTAATTTTACCCAAGTGTTCCATCCCAGTTTTCGATGGTCTTCTCCCCGACCAGCACAATAAAATCGTTTTGGATCTCTTGTTCATAATGGCACACTGGCATGGACTTGCAAAACTCCATATGCATTCTGACCTGACATTAGAGATATTCAACCAACAAACAACCGATCTTGGCGAACAATTTCGTCAGTTCAAGACTAAAGTATGTGCTGCTTACCACACACAAGAGCTCAATCGAGAAGCTGATGCGCGATCTCGCCATCGGGTGAAGGAAGCAGCTAAACGGGGAGAGACAGGCAAGACGAATGATATTGTTCGAGGGACTGCGCCTAGGACGGGTGCCAATGCGAAAGGCAAGCAAAACGCGACTTCGGAACAGTCACAGGATGCACCTCCACCAAAGCAGCTGGCACAGAGAAAGAAGTCATTCAACCTTCAAACTTACAAATTTCATGCACTTGGTGATTACGTAACCTCCATACATCACTTTGGAACAACGGATTCCTATAGTACTGAACCAGTGAGTTGTAGTCAGCTGCCATCTCTGCTTCAAATCAATTTTCATCAGGGGGAATTGAAGCATTGTACGCCGAAAGGCAGATACCGTCGCACTGATTGAAGGGCTTTTGTGCATCAGCTGACTCAGATTGAGCGCCGCCAGACACGTTTATGTCGTATCAGGCAATGGCACCAACTGCAAACCTCTCGTGCAGAGGTAGACGACTCGACGAGCGACCCCCATGTACACCATCACATCAGCCAAAGCGAGAAAGTCTTTGATGAATTCGGTCACTACCTCCGCAGCCACTCGAAAGATCCCGTTATGCAGGTAATATGCATTTTGCTTCATCATTACCATTCTGACATTTGACTCAGGACTTCTTACCTCGCTTGAAAGACCACCTTTTGGGTCGTCTCAAACCAGGGGAGCAATCAGCTAATCTCACCCAAGGACGTGATTCAATCCTCTTCAAGCGGAATCTAATTTACCACCACAATCTCGTAAGGTTTAATTACACGACATATGATGTTCGCAGGGCTCAAGATGTTGTGAATCCAAGGACGCCTCACTGTAACATCATGCTCCTTAGACATCAAGATGATCACAACGACGATGGCGACTATTGTTACACTAAAGTCCTCAGAATACACCATGTCAATGTTATTCGTGTAGGAAACGTGTATGAATCCCGCCGGTTTGAGTTTCTCTTTGTTCAGTGGTACGAATCAGTACAAAGTCACACTTGGAGCACACACACTTTAGGCCGTGTTTGCTTCATCCCTCTGGAGAATCCAGATGCATTTGGGTTTGTAGACCCAGGAATGGTGCTCAGGGCATGTCACATCATACCCGCTTTCTCCCGGGGCCAGCACAACCCCAGTGATTGTGGAATTTCTCCTATCGCGGGGGACCATCAAGATTGGCGCGAATACTACGTCAACAGGTGTGTTTTTCTGCCTATTTTGGTTGTATCTATTCTTAATGTACATGTAATAAGCTTTGTGGATCGCAATGCCCTTATGCATTTTCATTATGGCCTTGGAGTAGGGCACATGTATTCTCATGAGGCCAGAATGGAATGTTCTTCCTCGACCCAACAGGCAACTCACACTATTCCACATATGACATGGCAGCCAAATGATGAGAGTTTGGAAAGGGAAGAAACCACCACTGGAGATATCCTGCAAATGACGAATATGAAGAGGGCGAAGAAGACGATCACGTTGGCTTTGAGGAATTGAGTTTCTTCGACCAGGAATGCAATGGAAGCACAGAGTGCCTCATCCAGGCGCTAGACAACATGTTTACAAGACATGTGTTCGATTATGAAAATTAGTGTTGCATCCAGTGCCCCAGTTGCTGGCGCTAGACGCGTGTAATCACTGCTCAATAGTCACTAGTCCCTGATGGGCATATTTTCATTGATGATTTTACTAATTACTCGTACAAGGAGCGGCTGTTCCTGCCAGACTATTCAGTCATTTCCGACTGGCCATCACCACCTGTTGTGTCTCTATTCTGGCCATGGCCATCGCCAATTAGCGCTTCACTATTTAGTATTGACTTGTCTCTTCACTCTCTCCGTCTTTAACTTTCCCCTCTTGCTACCCTTTCAAAAATCAGAATGCAATGTGAGTTTAACAGGATCGAAACGATTTGAAACTCATTAAATGTTGACCAAAAATAGCCCATCCCTCTCCAACTTACCTGTACTTTCCAGACAAGAACAAAGTCCTGAGGATTCTCCAGCTGCCGGTATGTATGATACTCTGCGCTGTATGTATCAATTGCTGATGTGTTTTTTTTCGTTCAGAGTGATCCGGTTCGACATCGACCATCAAACATTACTTTTCTCTAACTTGTGACTGTAGCACCTATTTGTCGGATTCACAGAGTCCTTTCATCTGATAGGATATCTTGTGAACACCAACCGGGAGCTCTCGCCCCTCTACGTGAGCTTTGCCCAATATCATCTATTTTATCTCATCATATTGGTTTGCAGCGTGCAGAGCATGCATCGATAAATTCAGAACACGACATTCTGGATATCATAGGCATACTGGCTATTCCAAACCATGATAGAATAGTGTTTTCTGAAGTGTATGAAAAGAAGATGGTGAGAGTTTAGTTTTAATGGAATTTTGTCATTGAAATAATGAGCATAGACCGGTGACGGCGATCTCATGTGATTGATTGACAGCGGACTTTGTCGCCCAAATGTACTAGGGTTTACTAGTATTGTGTGGCTCGTCAGTATTACATCTGGTGCAGTGTTGCTGAGGAATAATTTTGCCCATCCATAGCTTAGCATGTTGCATGATCATTCCATCCGCTTCCATGTGGCACCATTCCCAGATGGATTCTCGCCCCGTGGGTCTCTAGCCACTATTGGGGCTGCACCTCTGCACGACTTCATGTTCCCTGCCCCTTGTGCTGCCATTGAGGTTACACCTCTTATATATCAATTCCCACCTCCTGTTACTCTCGCTGCCATTGAGGCCGCACCTGTCGCATATGAACTCGAGGCTGCGCCTTTTCAACACTCAATCTCTCCTGCTGATGGTGAGTGTGGATCTGCTCTTTTTTTACCTGACACTTCATCAAACGGACAAAGTTGGTCTGCCGATTTTGATTACGATTTCACAACTATCACTGGGTCTGAAGGGTACCCAGACAATTTGATGTTCGACGATTACCAAATGGCTTTCAATGCGCCTGTTGGATATGCCGACCAGACCCCCATTACTCCAACGATTGTGCTCCACAACCGGCTCATCTGGAAAGGTTTGGATGCACCCCTCCATCCCAACTTCTGAACAGCCATCACCGAAGCGCTGAAAAACACTCCCTGGAATCGCCCCATATTTTTGACGAAGTGTCTCTACCTTGGAAGCCTTTGGGTCGGACTACAAAACCCTTGGAACCTTCCTGACCAACAATACAGATGGCTCATCACCAGCTGCTTTGTAATGGTGATAGCTCTCAGCGGAACAACAATGGATGAATTACATGATAAACTGGGTGAGCACCTTCGTTTGATTTCGTGAGTCACTATCTAACAGTATGATCAGTGACAGTGGCAAAGGGTGGCATGGAACTGGCATCCATTGGATGGGAGACCCTTCGCCTCACTGTATGCTTTCTCGTACTTTGCTTTTGAGAAAGTTGCCTTTTTTACAGTCAGTGTCCCTTCATATAATTCTTGATCTTGGTGCTCATACATTTCCACATTCAGCAAAGTGAACATCTTCCCAATGGAACCCAAGAGCCTAAGACCAAGAACTTGCATGAACGAGACGACACCGTTATATGAAGATCTTGAGCCCATCACCAAAATGGTCCACAATCTCACCACTCTTCCAAACGCAGAATTCACGTCTATCCATTTGCAAAGAGCTAATCTGCAGGCGCATGATTTATGTTTCAACAAGGTACTTTGATTGAGAATACATTTCACACTATTTTGGATTGTCATTCAAAATATTGATATACGGCAGTGCCAATGATGGATATAGTAATGACATGATCATTAAGGATGAGGCCTTGAGGTGCGTTCCAATATGATGTACTATATGTAGGCGGGATTCCAATTTAGAGCTCAATGACTTACAATACAGACACAGGTGTTAACATTTATCATTGTTTGGTTGCTATTCTGAATACCGATTGTCGACATCTAAATTTGGAATCATCGATCACTCAGCGCTCTACAAAACCAGATCTCAAAGGTAAGCCCCTTTCTGTCAATATATTGTTGGTAATGTAATAGCAATTAGATGTCTTGTATGGTACACACAGCATGTATGGAACCATTACCCGTAAAAGACGGAAAAGTTTTGGTGAGCAATGTTTGTGATCAGTGCCACTCAAGTATGGAGCCTAAAGTTTATCAGACGCAAGTTGACATATGGATGGATTCTGTCAGTCAGTTTTTACTTTCCTACTTGCAACTCATCCAAGTCGCCTAAATTATTATCCAGCGACCCGATGATCACTATTTCAACCTCAGAATGTCGTTGCGCCTCACTTGCTGGCAGGAATCAAAAACAGTTTCATCCTCGCCGTTAGTAAAGTGAAATCAGCGCTTCGGGTGAGTGTTGTCGTTTTTATCAGAATGATCACTCAAAAACGCCCTTCCAGCTGTAGCTGAGAGCATGTCAACGGTACATGACGATCACAAGGGCACTGTATAATACCATTCCCATTACACCCTGTAGCATATTATTCCACCCACCACCACTTCTTTCTAGAGATCCATGACTACCATAGTGTCATGGTGCCCAACTTACTATGCCATACAGCCAGAACATCTATCTGCATTCTGTGACACATACCCTTACACACTTATGGTAGTAGTACATCATGATAATTGTCACCATTCGCGCGATAATCGACTGAACTCTCATTGAAAAAGATGCATCATCAAGTCATCGGAGTTCTGCAGCTCGCCGGTCATTTACAGCATTTAGATGAGCCAATCGTAATTTTCTCCAGTTAGAAATATATGCACGTCTCAGCATAAACTTTCAAATTCTGCTGTGTTACTGGTTGTACACGTCAACGGCTTCGATTTTATTATTACCTTTCAGGCACTCATTTTGTACATAACGTATTCTCAGGAAACCTGTTCCCTCAAAATTAAACATTTGCTTATTTCGATATACGTAGCGTATACTAATCTCGTCATCATATATACTGACAGACTTTAACTCAGAGACCCAGGGTGATTCTCCACATGAAAAATTAGTAATGAAGGATGGGATAGCATACGGTGTCCTCAACTTTGCTGGATCCAAACACATCATGAAGAGTTGATGCACTATATGAAGACACATCAGGATTGTACACGAAACACAGTGTAAGGTATACCGAATCTGAGGTCACTTGCGAGGGATTTCGGCAATTGGATGTCGTATGTATTTTTGGTGGCGATAGAACTGGTACAGTACGATCAGAAGTATCAGCAACGTTGCACCTGTATGCATCAAAACTCTTACCTTTCCATAAAAGTCAGATGGTCAACAATGATGCTCACTTGTTCCAGGAGAGCATTTACGGACACATTCATCGTGCAACTTGCATGAGATTGGTAGCATGAGCAATATTAAAAATTCTCATGAAAGTACGATTTTTCATGAATTCCAGCTCTGAAGTGCGAATTGCCCCTCTGCAGCTGAGGTTAGCGACCGTGTTGTACTGGTACTTGTATTGCACAACTCTAACGGAGACATACCTGGTAGAGGATTGGCGAATGATAAAACCGAAGTCAGTTGGGCCAGGAGTCCGCGAAGTTGATGATGAGTGGAGCGAGTGCAGCAAGGCTGTGAACACCTTTGGAAAAGATAAATGTTGAATGAAACACACCTTGGAAGTAGAATGCCCATATCGCAGAGTTAGTAGCAGTTTGAGACGCAAGGATAGAAAATTCGGCTGCATGTAGAACTTGAGAATCAACTGTATGAAGACCTGAAGGGGTGATACTACAGCAAGCCATGTGCGTGCATTCGAAGTAGTGACACGGTGTGTGCTGGAGTAGCTGCTCAACAAGAAAAATAATGATATTCGTACACTCATGCAGAATAGATAGTCATATTCGATGGGCAGCACAAAATATTCGATTGGATATGATGAGATACATTCAGGGAGCTGTTGAAATAAGAGTTGGATGTAGGTATGCACTGCAGAAGCACTGGGAGGGTGTACTGTCAAGGACGGCGGATATAATACATTATTGCTGCTGATAGAGATGCAAGAGCAAACAGCCTAATATCCTGGGAGTCTGTGGAAATGAGGCAGGTTGAAGCAATGAAGCAGCACAAAATGTACGATAGTACACGCACCTCTGCAGATTAGAGACAGACACCCCAGTCCTTCCAGAGTTCACCTCAACCGTACTCAACGCCATCGACCTCCAGAAAAATTTCGAAGCTTATTCCAACACATCGGGGTGAACGATATTGAAAAGAGGTTTATATGTTGTACAAAATGTGAAGACAATATTGAATATTTAAACTAACATAAAGATGGGTGCACAACTTCAAATTTTGGTGGTGTTTTGTGTGTAATCCAAAATATCAAATATTCACAACCATATTCCCACAGACAATATGTCAACAAACATAAGAAATATAGTCAGATTTTTCATGTCTGCTTCAACTTAAAGTTCAATTTCCATGTAAAACTTTGGAGAAAACTTGAAGTTTTACAGATGACATGACATTAAAACTCGATTTAAATGTCAAGCTTTGGCAAAACTTCAAGTTTTCTCCAAAGTTTTATGTAAGAATCAAACTTTAAATTGAAGCAGACATGGAAAATCTGATTATATTTATTATATTTGTTGACATATTGTCTGTGGGAATATGGTTGTGAATATTTGATATTTTGGATGACACACAAAACACCACCAAAATTTGAAGTCGTGCACCCATCTTTATGTCAGTTTAAATATTAAATATTGTCTTCACATTTTGTACAACATATAAACCTCTTTTAAATATCGTTCACCCCGATGTGCAAGCACCAGTGACCACGCCCCTGCAAGAGTTGAAAGGTCATGAAGAAGGCATATGAGTCACAGCTTTTCTGACACGGTTCACTGGTTCATACCCAATTGATGAATGATTACATAACATAACATGAATACGTTCAAAGTTTCAAACCATCACTGACACCAATACCATTACTTTTACAGTATGATGGGATGTGCATATGATGAAATGAATGACTTGCGTGCTACTTATGGACATGATCACTGGATAGACCTCACAAATTGCCTGGCCCATTGCTGTGGATGCATGTAGCATGCATATAACGGTCGCCATTCACACGCGGGATGCACGCATGCTGGGCAGATCACTAATGTTCCTAAGCTCGGGCAAGATTATCCATATCAGCTCAATCTTCAACCTACATCTTTCGCCTCTGACACATTCGCCTCAGGATTTGTGGTGCTTGGATATGGAAAAACATGTATGCAGTGAGGAGTTACTGAGCACGTGGAAACCACGCTGTAACTCAGTAGTGGAGGATTACAACCGGCTTGTTTTGACGGAACAAGGGCGGCGGATGTTCAAGCAGTTTGGGTGCTGTTAGCATCTTCATATTCACCTGCGTGCCCTGATTCTGGAGCTGTTGTTTGGGGTTCAGAAGCACTGAGTCTCTGGCAAAACACTTTGGCTATGCAGGAAAAGTAAGCTGGTTCAAGTTAGATTGACATGGGTTGACGTCAATGATCCCCAGATATCTCATTCCCCCAGACGGCATCCGCAACTTTGGGCTCAAAAGGCTCTCGGCAACTTGTAGTTTTCGAGTCCCTGAAGTGCGTGAATAGATATTTGAAAGATTCAATGCTCAATTACTTTCAGCGCAACAGTGCCTCTCGATGCCATCCTGATGCTAATCTGTATGTGCTTCCTGGTTGTACCTTACCATTCTCAACTTGACAACTTATTCCAGGGCCGAGTACATGCTTGATGTCATTGCAACAGGTGCAACAGTGTCAACCTCGGTCGACTGGCACTCCATCTGGAAGAACTGAGGCTGCTACATTCCAAGAGGAGATTGAGAACATTCACAATGAAAGCCGTGCTCGCCCTGTCGTTCAAGCAGCATGGCCTACTGAGTTGACGACGTCGTGGTATCACCAGCTTGTAGCCCTCACACAGCATAACTCACTGGCAGAATCCAACCTACCTCATAGCCAAGTTCGCGCTTTCCATTGCTGGAGGCTTGCTTATTGGCTTCACGTTCTACATGACCAGCGACTCGCTCCATGGTATCCAGAACAAGCTCTTTGTATGTGGTGTATTATTGTATTACATGACGAAAATCTTTAACCTATTTGATAGGTGATCTTTTTAGCCTCGGTGCTTTGTGTTCCCCTCTCGCAACAGCTTCAGGCAATGTTCATCAACATTCGGACTGTCTATGAAATTAGAGAGCCCCCAAGCAGGATGTACAACTGGACCACTCTCATTGTCAGCCAATTTCTGGTCGAGCTCCCATGGAACATTATGTGCTCGTCACTCTTCTTTTTTTGCTGGTACTGGACTGTCGGGTTCCCCAACGATCGCACGGGATACACTACCTCATATATGGTGTTGTATTCCCCATGTACTACACAACTGTTGCACAGGCGGTCGCTTCCATGGCTCCAACCGCTGTGATCATGTCACTTCTGTTCAGTGCGCTGTTCTCGTTTGTTGTTGTGAGTAAATGCAGATGCACGTGATATGGCCTTGTCCCTTACTGTTTTGTAGCAACGGTGTCTTACAACCATACCGTGCTCTTGGTTGGTGGCAGTGGATGTACCACGTCCCCCCTTTCACTTACTTCATGAGGGTCTGCTTGGTCAAGGTGCACGTGAGCATGAAAATTGCACAAACCTGCAAGGCACACAATTAGCTCAATGAAAGTACACAACAGCAAGAACTTACGTTGAAAACAGTGATACCAAGCATGATGCCCAAGTCGTGCCAGTGGTGAGAAGCCTTGATGTTGAATGCGGTGAACATAGTTGTCGGTCGTGCGGTAAGGGCAGAACAAATACGTGGACGTGGCGCTGGGGTCGGCGAGGTAACTGCCAGCATATTGCATGAATGGATTCAAGTATTGGGAGCAAGTGGATCCACTGGGAGGGATGACAAGGACGAACTCATACCGAGCACAGTTAATCTCATTGCCACCAATAGCTAAAGGAAATGTTAAGAATCATGTACCGACTTCATTCAAAAAGTGCATCTGCCGCATCTGCAAGGGCAACCCTCTAGCTGGTCTGCAGCAGAAGCTTGCTAATCTCTGGAAGTAATGCATGATTCCGAACCCTAATGACTTCATACACCCTCACTTGCATATGAATCCCTATTACATTCATTTCTCATTCAAATACTCCATAATTTGTGTAATTTGATACCACACGCTTGCTGCACTCAGTGATTGCTCATTACATCATCGTACTGATTATGTATCTCACCGTGTGAATGACTCCCACATTGGTAAGTTGAACGTTGAACCATCACAATGGCCACGATGGTACATTTTATTTCGAGTTCCATTAAAGCTACTAGCCTACCTAGTACCTAAACTGTCATGCAAGATCCTAGCTGGAGGAATTGATTGGGAGGTCGAGCTGCTTAATCACAGCATCCCTATATGGCCAACGCAGCTACGTTGGTACACCGAAAGAACATTGCCGTGAGTGTCCACTACTAGTACTAGGATAAACATAGAGTACTACTGACTATGCTTAACAGTGAATCTTTAAGTCGTGATTACCATGTGCAGAAGATGCAGATTGGCCTCGCGTGGTTTGTTGCCTTTGTTTCTGATAATGTTGATTTAACCGCAACTGCGACATCGACAGCCATGAAGTGCATGGGCATTGGCAAGAGTTTGTTCATCCGTTTGGAGCTGTATACCACTACAATGCAAAAAGTGTGAGTACCGCCTATTATTGAAGTTACAGACTCACTTAATAGCGATAAAGAAAACTTACACTGGGATGAATGTGAGGGATTGTTCTGATGAACAACTCCGGAAACTCGAATCTTGGATCCAGGTGTCAAGAAGCAAAATAGAAGGAAAACAGTGGCTGTTAGTCGTCGAGCCGATCCTAGCAAGGGGGCAGGAGATTTATCTGTACTATTATGTGGTACCTGAGAACCACATCATTACCTGGATCGAACCTGTGGATGCCTACCTCCTATTTCAAGAATGTACAGCGGCATGGCACTGGAACCACAAAAGTGCATCACTTTTTTTGTGTATTTGTGTCAAATTTATTGTATAGGACTCGAACTGGAGGCCCAATATTGGTGAGCGATATTCTGACAGAAACAAAGAACATTTCTCACTGTTAGACTAGGAAACACATCAAATATTTTCCACACGGGATCAAAATGCATCATTCGGAAGTAAGAACTTTGTGACGGTGATTGAATTGGTATTGCATAGGTGAGTTCTCTTTACATTGTAGCGCCCGATAACAATGATCTGAATGACGGACAGAGGCCTTAGCTTTAGAAAAATCTACTGCGGGCTCAATATTTTGGACTTTAGAACAAATGAAAGAAATGACTGCTGAGCTAGCTATTGCAGGTACGTATGCTGATTTCAATTTATATCTTCAAGCTGATGGCCGAATGACAGAAGAACTAGCAGGAAGTGATGGGGTCATGGAGGAGCAAGGTGTCGCAATCTGCGGTATATGAGTCTTATGAAAACAGGTGATTTGAACTTATCTAGTTACATATGAACAGGTAAATTGTTGCACATACTCCGTATGTTGTTCCTTTCTCAGATCACGTTGTTAATCGAGGCACAAAACAGGGCATCACAAATATTTAAATCACCATGGCCAGCCCGAAGCTCACTTGATGCGAATGCATTCACTGGGCGAGAAGCGCACAGACCTGGAAAAACCTACTTTCATGACTGCCGTTGCCGTTGCTATGTTCTGGGTCCCAATCATGGTGCTCAAATGACTTCGAACAATTTATGTTGACGGTTTTGTCAATGGGGTGGATATGAAGAAATTCATAGACGACTTTAGTGCACAAGCTAAATCTCAAACTACGGTTGTAAGTGGTATGTCATAGACCCGGATGAGAACACTTACCATATAGGCTACTAGGTGAGTGTTATCATGGCAGTTGATGCCAGTATCCTTGCCATCCCAGGTGTGGGTTCAATGTTTGCTACAAAGACGCTATTCTCCATCTCTTTTATTCTAAGTGTCCACTGCATTATCGCATGCACGCTGGCACAATAATTTGGTCACCGCATGCGGTCCCTTGACTTTGAGGTTCGATTATCTTCTTATTTCTGCTGTCTGTATTTGACATTAGTACTTGAACAGGCATATTACCTACAAGGGAAGATGGTCAGTTTTGTAGTCATTTTAAACATACCAAGTCTCTTATATCTGACAAGATAAGCAAACTTTTGATCTCAGTTGCTTTCCATCTTTGGATTTCTCGCAGGGGTTTTCGCAATTGAATACGGGTTGCCCTTATCCGCAAGGATAGGATGTGGGCTGGCACTTCTTACTGGGACAGGCCTCACAATTCTCTTGACGATCACTGCTTTTGGTCCTGGGCTGATACGGTAATGCGAAAGTCTTTCCAATAGCTACATAGATAGGGATGGATGACGCAGACATATTTTTAAAAAAGATAACTAATACTTCAATGTATCTGAGAACAATTGGCTCTCTAAGCAGTGTTAGTCAATATTACCGTGACTTTAATCAGTTCAAACATTCGACTCGCGAGCCTTACAAAGTGAACCACAGGATAGGAGGAGCGCGACTCTTGAGCTACTTGGGCTCGAGAGAGTCTGCCGAGAAATTCGACAAGAAGGCGAGTGTTCATGTGCACATACTCATCTCCGCTCTCCCCATGACTCACTGTAATGCCCTTCATGTTACCTGCTGCGTACGACTCTACTGTAGAGCTGAGGAGTACCACTTCCCTGATTTCTGTGTATTTACCTAGCCGATCACATCAATCACAACTGTACGTCTCTTTTAGCTATTGAAGCTTGAAGGGTTATCTAGTATCTGATGGTACAATATCATAACTTACTGCATAAATTTTACGAGAATATTGCAACTTCTGACAATCCATTTTCCTGGACTACCATACTATGTAATTATTATAACTCTTGATAATGTATCTCCATAGACTCATCACAACTGTGAGTAATGACAATACTGCACAAATATTACAAAGATACTGTAGCCGACTGCATCCAATTGCAAACGGCCAACAGGAAGCCGAGCGCATACAGTGATAGACCATAATTTTGGAGAGATGCAAGAATTCCTATAAGTGATTATCTACCAAGTACCATAGTTATGAGACATACATGTCTTCATCAGAATTGTAATTTTCTTACAATTTATTGTATTGCTTTGTCTTCGGGTATAATATTGTTAAGATGGGATTGAAGTGGGCCGCTTCTAGAGGCTACTGAGAGACCAGAAGAGATCAGACTAGAGTCCAGAGTAAGTTGCCAATCTATTGAATGGTGTAGTGAAGTTGTACAGTACATAGAGTCCAGAGTAAGTTGCCAAAGAGGCAGGGAGCACTGGACTCTGGGATATGGGCAATGTATGGTAAACAAATGTAAACAGACAAGCCACAATCAAAAGGTAAGTAATAACTCGACCTAGGGACATCCTAGGGAGATCAGGAAGTCATGTAAATAGTAAGTAAAGTGCCAGCAATAATACCATGAGTATGAAGGCACAATAAGACACATAGAAGACATAGAAATGCATACTGTAGAGGTGAATGATCATATAACTAACAAATATATGTATATTCGATTTGATTTTACCAAAATTATCAATTAAAAACATCTCCAGCCTGATTTCGTGATGGTATTTTCAGGAATGTATTATTTCCATTCGCCAATTTGAATAGGCCTCATGCCTTGCTACTTTTGTCGTAATTTAGTTTGCAGTTTCATTAATGGGCTGCTTCCTATCACAGAATTCTGGTCTGGTCTGACTTCAATCAAAACTAATCCCAAGACCCATCTTTTACTACCACTGACCATCCACCATAATATATCCCACTGGCAACACTAGCTATATGACTTCGAGCACACAGTATCGGGGCGCAGTACTGATTATGATTCTGAGAACATCAACTCACTCTTCTCCGATTCTCATAGACAACCTGAAGTTCACGGCACTACTAGCTATAATTTATCTGACTCCCTCTCTGGCACCAGTGCGCCAGCTGCTCAGATCCAGCTTGACCCCCTTCACATAAAGTGTTGTCACATTTCAATGCAATGTCCAAGTCAGTCTCCAGGCCAGCATAACTTCCTCCCACTGAGTCATTTACCACTTCCATCTGGTATGTCATGGTGCCCAGGTGCTGCCGCCATGCGGCAAGCACCAATGATGTTCACACCCTTTCCAATCTTTGGCAAAAGCCATCAAGGCGATAATTTGCCTCCCCCAATTTCATTTGATCATCTGCTACCAGGTGCTGCCACCATGCGGCAAGCACTGATGTTCACAGCCTTTCCAACCTTTGGCGAAAGTTATTGAGGCAATGATTTGCCTCCCCCAATCTCATTTGATCATCTGTTACTAGGTGCTGCTGCATTCACGCCCCTTCCAACCTTCAACAAAAACCATCAAAGCAAGCATTGGCCTTTATCAGTCCGATTTGATCACACGCCTTCGCCAACCCTCAACAATGACAATGAAACTTCACTTCTGCCATTCATAGTCCCATCTCAAAATTCCATCTGTTTGAATGATCTGGCATCGCTACCATCAGCACTTGCCGATTATCGGCTCAATTTTCCTCTGCCACTCCTATCTATGGATGGTGTCACTACGCTACCACACCAGCACTGGATTATATATGGCCACAACCCCTTGCGGCGTTGAAACATCCCCGTTCCCAAACTCAAAAATGCAATGCTCCGTGGCAATTTATTGCATGCTCAGGTCAGTGAACAAAACCATTCGAAACCCCCTCAGTAAGTGCTCTTCTTTCATAAACTAACACATGCACTCATAGTAGTGAAGCAGTCAATGCCTTCTAGCATGACACCTTCTCACCCAACACCCACTCAGTCTATGCAGCCACAGATCGACCTTCCTCCTCTAGATTACCAATCCAATCTTCCAATACACAATGCCTTCATTCTTGCTGCAGAGAAGGAGCTTATCAGTGATGCTGTCAACAATTGTACCATGATAAATCCCTCATTAAAAGAGGGCTTGGTTCAAGCTGTGTTAGCAGATGCAGTACAAGACTGCTTAAAAAAGACTTGATCTGACCCTGCTGGGTTGGTGAAAAAAGAAATCAAAGGTAAATTGAATATCGGATTTGGAGAACAGATTGCTGTAAATTTAACAGAATTTGGTCAACATTGGGCAGCAAAAAATGCAGGATTATTGTACATGAGTCTCTCTGCACCATTTAAACTTTTAATGGCAGCCTGTAAAGAGCTGGCATTCAGCATTGTTGATCAAGGCTACAATCTTTGACCCTTGCTTTGGTTGAACACATCAGAGTCAAAGTGGTGGAACACATATTTGCTGTCTTGAAGGGACATTTACAGTTCTTTCAAAAACTCTGCTTTCACATTTAGTCTGAAAAAAACCTTAATTTTGCTGTGCAGTAGATCAAGTTGTATCATCCTCCACAATATGGATATTTCAGTTTAAAATATATTATCATAAGCAAAATGAAACTTATAAGAGCTTTCTCAAGTTCATAATAAGGGTACAGACTTCATTAATCAGGAGTTTAAGCATCTAGATGACAATGAAGTAGTTGGTAATAGGAATTATGAGGGCACTCTATGTTAGATTGATTGTGTAAAACTGATGGATGATCTCTTCAATAGTACTAGTACTCACTTAGATGCACAACACAGGAAAGAATAATAATAATTTCTCTTGCGTAAGACTTAACATATACCACCACAATATATATATATACAATATATGTATCTAGCTATATAACAACAAATGTCAAATGAAAAGCAATATTTTTGAGAAAAAAACATAACAGTTAAAAACACATGAAAGTAATACAGAAACAGGCAGAGATGATGAATACAATAACAATAAATAGCTTACATAGCTCTATCTAATACTGGGGCTCTGTTATTCTGCATCATTTGGTGTAATAGGATCTTTGAGCACCTACAAATGTGCTTTGTACACTCATATATCCACTTCATGAATACAGATCTCAGTATCTTTGTCCTTTTGTTGGTGCCAATAATTAAGGGCTGCTTGAGATACTTCATACTCTTAGGTTGAGTGAAGCTACTTATATTTCTTTGTCTCATGATGGTGCTCAGACTTTATCTTAAGCTTTACAAGGAACTTGAAATCTAAATACCAGCATATGCCCTAAGTCCAGTACCAGTGCCAAATAATTAAGCTCCTGACACATTATTTATTATGGAGCTTAACAAAACCACCTACTATTAACATCATTAAACATGCTATCAGAGAGGAGCTATATTCTATGATAATATAGGAAAGGAATGATATTTCACTGATGCAAAAAAATGAGAGGCTATTATTAAGAAGGCCTGAATTTCTATCATTAGTCAAAGTGAGTCCTCAACACATTGTGCTACCCACTGATACTTTTTTAAGGTTCAACATAAATCATTTTAAAAAAAGCTCTTTACAAAGAACTAATAACCTACATGTCCAATGTGTAGTAAATGTTTAGAAATCATGCTGCAATTATAGTTCAGACAGCTCTTGACCTATAGCTACTCATCTCTGTAGAATATAGAGAGAAGGTAACATACAAAATTGCAGTAGTTTCTATCCTACTGAAGGATCTCAATTTTTTATCCAAGTTTGAATTAGTGCATTTTTATTGTATTTTCATCTATTGCAGGCACTTATTTTACTTCACTAAACTTAGGATGCTAATGATATCAAACAATATCAGTATTTAGAAGTTAACCACTTTATTGAAATAATCACCAACATTTTATGGCAGAAAGGCTCCATATGAGTATATTGATTTACTTTGACCTTATATCATCTTTGCTCTTAGGAGGGCTATGGTGGGGGCAAATGCAATTTTGAGAGCAAGATATGAGAGACTTCAGCATCTGATTGTAGCATGGAGTTACAAGTGGATTAGTCTGTATGACAACAATAATGAGTTGATAACTTCTATATTACTTCAACAATCTGTAGATAATCCCACTATCACTATATACTGCTAGATTTATCTTTGCAATTTTTGACCAATGTTATGAATAAACCTATTTTCAGTGCAATAATAACAAAAATAGCATTTTATAAACTAAAAGTATGCACTAACTAAATCTAGCTTAAGTTAGGAGCCTCAAAATGTATTCTAGCAAGTGTGAGGTACACAGACAGACAGATTGACAATAGTGAAATATAACAGAATACATTAACTTGAACTTGAGTGTATTACTCCAATTTCACTGGTACATAATGCAAGTATAATTGTTTTAAATTATCAAAGGTATCGGCATCAGTATAGATATAATAGGTTATGTGAAAAAGATGATTGGAAGATATGCACTCAGTCTTACATATTTAAATCAATAAGCAAACCACTAGCTGTGTCAATGCCTAGCCTGTATATAGGTTTGTCCTGAAGGACCTAGAATAATGAGTGAAGAAAGAAAAATATATTTCCTACTCAGGCTGGTGTAACATCATGTTCAGAGACATCTTACAAAGAAGCAACTTGTTGTCCTATGATGAAATAGCTAAGCTACCCAGGAGGCTGCTTGCTGTCATTTACATATTAGAGTAGAGTATTAGTCTTATTGTGACATCCATTGTGGTCACTCTGGTGAATGCCTATGTGATGGATGAGTAACTGCATGTTCACCAATGTTTTGTTGAGTAAGGTTGGTTATGTTGATAGTAAGATTATATTGTCAAAATGGTAATGAGAGCCTACCTAGATCTCATCAAAATGAACCTTCTTACCATCATTGTTAGCTTAAGCAAAATCAGTAGGTGACCTTCCCAGGACTAAAGGAGTCTTGAAGCTAGGTTTATAGTACACTTTTCTCTCTAAGACACATTAGTATACTAAAGTTAGCTACAATATTTAATGCAACTTCAGCAACCTACAGGACCACTCTCTTAATTTATAGAACAGCAATTGTGTTTTCCTGGTCTATGCCCTTAGTCTTGGATCTAGTCAGCACTGTCATAGAGCTCACTTAGTATAGGGCTGGAAGTATAAGTGAAGGTACTGATAGAGGATATTAATAACTCATGAAGCTTGGTTGAAAAAGTCAATAATATATGTACATAGTTAGTAATGTAACATTGCTTAAGTACATTATGGACTGGCTATAGTACATGTCCATAAAGTACTTATCACATCAAGGCATCTGACTATATTGCAGGTATCTATCATGCTTTGCACCCCTGTGCTAACTTAAAGCCTTCCCACTAGCATACATAGAAGCAATAAAAAAGTTACTATAGCTCTAGAGCAACATGTTACTGCCCATAAATTTTCATGTACTACCAGTCCTATTTAAGTGATCTAAAAGAAACAGAGAGAATGAAAAGTACTAAGAGAGTATCAGCAAGTATATTGGTTACTAAGACCAATGTATGACAACACTGTCTCCATCTTCTTAATGATACTACTTATAAAAAATGAATTTTGCTTGTATAGAAAGGCAAATTTTTTGTCTAGGTATCCAGAGTGTGCCAGCATGTCCATTTCTCTTTCCCTTTCTCCATTATATGTGATGAGATCTCACAAGATCCAGCAGCATGTCAATTACAAGGTAGTCTGATAAGAGTTAGATTTTAAATTAAAACATTATGACATCTCACAGATTCAGAACAATTCATGTGGCAGCACATAGATGTCTAGTTGTCTGAAATCACTGATAGCGAGTAGTACTAGTACAGTTCTTTATCTGCAAAATTATTCAAGAAATAGTTGTCAAAACCTCTGTATAAGTAGTAGACTTTGAGATTAATATTTAGACTGAATTGAATGTAAATAATTGTACAGATTATATACTATGACTCACTAATACTAGAGACCTTCAAAGCCACATTTACAAGGTGTTTTTGATTTTCAGCAGTGATGGCAGGGGTGTTGGACTCCAGATTTTGGTACAAACTGAACATTAATGTCTTCTTAAATGGTAAGCCTTGATGTCACACACCTAAACCGCATCACACAATCCCTTAAACATGTTTCTGTGTTAGTCTCATGCCTTAGCTAATACAGAATTGAGTCTACATGTAAGTAAGTGAAGTGGTGTAACTCTTCTTTGTTCTAACCCACCATCAGTCAACTCTAAGTCACTCATTACTAGTCATTTCTCGTATTGTCTGCTCGAAACCTCTGTCGCTCTTTGCTACTTTACCTACTGCAATGTCCCTTCTAGTCAAAGACCCCAACTTAACTGTTGCTCCAGATTTGAAACAGCTGAATTTAGGTGAACCCCAGAGTATGAGTAGCACTACCCCCACCCATACCCCACGATATACCCACACCCACCTTGTGGGTGTGGATTTTTTGGTGGGTATCAGGAAAAACCCACCCAGGGTATCACCTACTGAGGGTATACCCATGGGTTACTGTCAATTATTATAAAAATATGAGACATGAATAAATGTAGTAGCTACTTTATAATAATTTGATCTCACCCATGCTAACGGGTATGTGTGCATCCTCTAGAACCAAAGCCAGTGTATGTTCTTGCTCAAAAACTGTAACCAGTATGTCTTCATGCTCGATTACTAGGTCTGGTATTGTTGCCTTGGCCTTTCCTTTGTCTTTGAACATAAGTGTCATTTGAATAGGTGTGGGCTTTGGCAGGTTCTTCTTAGGAAGAGGCTCTTCAGCATTGGTACCTGCTGCTGCATGAATAATGAGATCTTTCTCTTCATCCAAGTCATCTTTCTGTTGTTGTTTTTACTGGTGAGTGAGCTAAAAATGCAGGCTAGCTCCAAACAGACCCACCATATAGACTGTGTAGGTATCCCTAACACCTTCCAGTGCAGGAATTTCAAGTGCCTGTAAAATGATGTACATCAGTAAGTCTGTTGTCAGTATAGATCTTGTTCATATTATGTGCGTTTATCAAGACTCGTGTCTCATTGTGCGTCATCAATATCTCATGTATTGAATGCAACTCAGCGCATTCAGTGTTGACACTTGTTGCAGTTATGTGTTGGACTTACCCATATGAACCTGTTGCCATGATATGTGACATGAAAATCAAGTGCACTTTCTTTGTGAGCTGTAATACAGGCTATCATCATCTTGTTGATTAACATTACCAGCATCAAGAGCTCGTTTTGGTGGGTTGTTACGATGGTCCGTCGACGTAGCAATTCCTCTTCACTCATGTATGTGTCGTCAATTATGTCTGATTTGGCAGGGGGCTCTGGCACAATGATGCCATCCCATAACTGCCAAGATGTGTGATGGGTGAGAGAATTTGATGTCGCCGAATTCAGTGGTGATTTTGTTTGATGACACACCATGCACTCATGCAATTGCTCATGGAGCTGCCAGACTTTGTGATTCTGGAGAAGGGTTGGCATGTCCAATATATTCATCAATGATACTGGTACATAGATGTTGCCTCATCCAATATATTTTTTCACCAACTTAAACAGGACAGTCGCATTCTCATGCATTGACTTGGACATGGATGCCCATTGTATGTCAAAGGTAGGCTTGGTCTTAGGTCGTGTGTCCATTTTGGCTTGCATGGGGATCACCGACATCACATTATGCAAATGTAAGACGGATGACTTGTGTTCACGTAATTGTTGTTGTTGTCACCAATGCATTCCTCATAAGTGTCGAAACATTGGATGGCAAGTTTGTTGATTTCATCCATGACAGGAATAAACATTGCCACGTCACCATCTTCAGCTGCTTTGATCTTGTCAATCAAGAGTGACAAGGCTGTCTGTGTGCGTTCGTCGGTATGGGATTGCTCCACCAACAACAAGACTTCTTGGTACATAGGGATGAAGGCACCTAGGACTCTGCTCAAAACTGCTCTCCAGGCAGCCTCTTTCCTTTCTAGGTGCGCTGTGTCTCCTGGGGGTAGCACACAGTTGTGGCTGTTATGTCTGTGCATACCACAAGAGAAACATTTCCCTGAACATATGGTTGCCATTTTTGGTTTGAGAGGGTAGCTTGTCTCTCTCCATTTCCCATTCCATTGCGCGATTTGAGCTGTGTGTGCTGTATGACCTGCTGGGATGTCTGGGTGGTGGGGGAACAATATGATGAAGAGCCTGACTTTAGCTTTTAGCTTGTCTGTTACAATAATGGGTTGCTGTGGGGCTGCAGTGGTGGCTGGTTGATGGCTCTGGGTCCTAAACTGCTAGTCATCAATGTTCCGATGGTATACACAAGTGTACATATGCATTCACATATTGTCAAGATCAGCTCATCATGACCGACTGGGACCCAGATTCAGACATCCTTTTAGGGGACTCTAATGATCCATCTGACTCTCCCTCACCTTATCCAATCTTAGACTAAGGTCCAAATGAGACTGGTCCGAGCATGTTTCAGAGCTCATTGACCATCAAGCACACATTCGAGGCACTATTGCTATGGTTGAAGATACCCTTATGCTCTTCCTGTTTGTGTCCTGACTGAAGTAGCATGAAGGCCCTCTATTCTCACATGTAAAGAGCACTATTACATGGGAACTCATGTTCCAGGCTCCTACTATTAGCCTTCATATCCTCCTATCAATCCTTTCTTCTCTAATGACGAAATGGAGCATCTATATGCTATTGCTGCTGTTACAGAGTTCCATGGTAAGCACCAGCTTACATCAACTATTGATGATGCACTGCACATGCCCTACCCTAACACTGATATCATGCATGCTCTAACTCAACAGAATCTTCTTCACAAGCAGCAGGGTTCAGACATCATAGCATTTGCATGTGCTCATGATCACAAGCTTGGTATTCAATAAGTTGAAGTAATTTTGGTGTCCTTTCAGACCAAGAAAGGTATTCAACTCATTTGTTTTGAGATCTTTTCTAGCCAAATTCTTGAGGATGACTCTGATGATCCTGATGACAAGGCATTTCACCAAAAGGCCAAGATCGAGACAACAAGGGACCTAAGGGTGGTCATATCTTTTTTCTCTAGTCTTGAGATATTCAATCATCATGGTGGCTCATGTGTACATTCTCTGATGTCATTGTCTAGCCACAGCCTGTGTGTGACTGTTTCTCATATTTGTGCTTGATTTTAATCATTTGTTATTTTTTGAAAATCCAAAAATCATCCTATTTTTTTAATCTTCATTTGCAACCACATGATGTGTATTTGTACTTACATTTTTTTCCTTTGAGTTTCATTTTCTCATGCTATTTCTGGCTTTGTATCGCTGTGGGCCCATGTCTCATAGCCCTGTATTTGTATTTAAAATCCCCCTATTATTCTTATGTGTCCTTGTTACTAGGGACATTATGTACTAGTATAGTTGGTAATGCAGTGCATCTGTTAAAAAATTCTGCTGTGAAGTCTAAGGAATTCACAAGTATCACTTCAAAAGTATTTAGCCTTGCTATACTTTGTAAAATTTTTGCAAAGATATCTTTTAAAGAACCTATACTTGTGTACCCTGAGGATATTCCAGAATATCAAACAGTTAAAGAGTACTATATGATGTACCAAAAAGACAGTCAGAAGCCTCTCATTGAGCCTTAAGCTATCACACCAATCTCTTTGGAGGATCCAAGTGATTCAGATTCAGATTATGATGATGCAGATATTATATTTGATTGTCAATATTCTGATTTGAATGATCCTACCTACCCTACTTCTATTCTTACAATGTACAAATGAGTTAACAAGAAAGTCAAATACATTTCTGGTATATTCCTCCAGGATGCATGTATATCTAGGGAGTTTCTACATAATCCATTGGAAACTATGGTTCCCTTAACTCCCAATCCTCCCAAATTCATTCCAAATGAAAGACTTACCCATGAACACATGGAGAGTCTCAATATCAACTCTATTGGATTTCTGTGACAAGAAGAAGAAAAATTATTCTGCCATGTGATGCATTTAAATCAAGATGCACTTACATTTGAGGAAAGTGATCATGGTACCATAAAGGAATCCTATTTTACTCCTACATTATTCCTACTATCCCACACGAACCATGGGAATACAAGAATATTCCTATTCCCTCTAGAATATGACAAAAGGTCATTGATCTACTATGTACGAAGATTAATGTAGGAGTGTATGAACCCAGCCAGTCTGCTTAGTGTTCTCACTGGTTTTGTGTACTCAAGAAAAATGGAACACTATGGTTGGTCCATGACCTTTAGCCACTTAACAAAATTTCCATACATGATGCTAGCCTTATTCCTTATTGTGAATGACTTTATAGAGTCATTTGCAGGCTAACAGTGTTACACTGTTTTTGACTTGTTCTGGAGATTTGATGCCAGAAAAATGCACCCAAACAGCCAAGACTTGACAGCTTTCCTCACTCCTCTAAGATTGCTATAGTTAATAGCATTACCTATGGGATATACAAATGCACCTGCAAAATTTCAAAAGTGTACTAGCTTTGTTTTTTAAGATGAAATTCTGCATGTTGCAAATATTTTTATTGATGACTTACCAGTCAAAGGACCTAAGTCTATCAGTGCCATTGTATATGTCTTGCATGAGTTCCTCATCTGTCCATAGAAGACAATCTTTGTCGACAGTAGTGTCTTGCATACTCTGAATGAATGTTGGTTGTAAGATAGTTGTCTACCTGCAGGCCAAGGTGCTTCTTTACAGTTGTGAGAGAATGGAGGAGTGTGGATGCACTAGTAAGATGCCACAGACTTCAATGAGATTGAGTTCATTTTGTAGTTGGTTGGTAGTATCAGCAACTTAATGTGGGCAATAACTAACTGGAGGTATATAAGTCACACAGGTGATATCTGCCAAAATATTGGAACCAAAGTTGCCAGGTCTTTAAATTCATCATTGTTAAACTGTGGTATTGACTTGGAATGGAGATAATCCTGCAGCTCAGGCTTGGGGTTACTGTCTGATATGCCTGCTTTCAAGCTGCTGAAGTCATAGTTGTTTGTATTACCTAGTTCAGGAGGTGTGTGGGTAGCTGCAGATATCTGTAGCATTTATGCTAGGGTATGCAGCACTAAGATTCTATATAAGAGACACTTATGATTGGGACACATATATGAAGCTCTTAATCGTGAGACATCACCTGAGCAAAGAAATCAAAATGCTAGGTGTCCTAGGCTCAGGATATGGTAAAAATGGAATGAGGATATGCAGATTCACATCATATTTTCAAATTATCAATATGTGGTCAATATATGGTGATAATTTGTATAGAATAATAAGATTTGTAAGACATTTCTACCCATGCATAATCTCTTTGTTCTCCAGTGTAACTATAAGATGGGCCTAACAGCAAATATCTGAAATATTTATACATGTATCTTGAATGTAGGCAGATCCTTGTCAACAATAAGTCTGTCTGCATGCCAATGGGATAGACAAATGAAATGAGATATTAGCTCACAACACATGATAGGGGTGCAATCGACACCTTGGATGCTATTACAGATCTTCTGATGATACATTTGCATATCGTTAACTTTGCCTATCTCTACCATAAGATAATATTCACATATTGGAAAACACCAGAGATATTCTTCAGAGCTTTCAGCATCTCCACCTCATTCAGAGTCCAGAGTAAATTGCCAAAGAGGTGGGGAGCACTGGACTCTAGGATATAGGTGATGTATGGTAAACAAATGTAAACAGATAAGCCACAATTAAAAGGTAAGTAATAACTCAACCTAGGGATGTCCTAGGGAGGTCAGAAAGTCATGTAGATATATAGCAAAGTGCAAGGGATGATACCATAGGTATAATAGTACAATTAGACATAAAAGAGACATAGAAATGCATACTGTAGAGGTGAATAATCATATAACTAATGAAAGTACTGCAAGTACTGCAAGCACACTAGAAGGTTCATCTAAGTTATGGGTATAATAGAAATGAATCAACTTTTCTATAGATGTCAATGTATTAGTGTCAACTTTCGGAGTAGAATATATTAAACTTAGATGCAATAACACACATTTTAACAATCTTGATTTACACAAATGTCCTATTGTGACCTTATGTTTCTTGATAAACTATGTGAACAATGTCAGTCATCATTAACTTAGCAACATAATTCACTAACTTATGTTTCTGGGACATGATGGTGTTGTTACTAGACCTTGTTAAGATGAGAGTAAAGTAGGCTACTTCTAGAGGCTATTGAGAGACAGATCAGACTAGAGTCCAGAGTAAGTTGTCAAAGAGGCAGGAAGCACTAGACTATCACCTACCTTTGAATTGTGGCTTGTTTGTTTACATTTGTTTACCATACATTGCTCATATTCCAAAGTCTAATACTTCCTGCCTCTTTGACAATTTACTCTGGACTCTAGTCTGATCTCCTTTGGTCTCTTAGTAGGCTCTAGAAGTGGCACACTTTACTCTCATCTTAATAAAGCTGTTCTTTGATTTCCAAGTATAAATGTCCTATATATGTGTGATTTTAATACTGGCAATGTAAGGCAATTCACTCACATTTACAATAATTAACATCCACATGTTATATGATGTACAGAATTGTACCTTAAGAGAGAGCCAGAATATTCATCTTGTATATTGCTTGTCAAGGGAGGCCATTGAAGGACTCTAGCTTAGTGACATAACTCTCCAATCTAATAACAGCATCACCTGATTTATAGGTATTTACCTGATACATGGAAGTTGAGTGTAATGCTAATGGTTGTCAATGTATCTTTTGTAGGCATTCAAAATTCACTGCTATGCAATATACTTACTAAAAATCCAGGCAACCAATGGAGGCTATAGGATTATGCAGTTGTTGGAGAATAAAACTATTTCCCTCTGTATTCAATTGTGATCTCTCACAGTCTAATGATA